TGCTTAGTACCTCTCAAGATGATGCTGAGAGTCAATATCTTAATCTTACCTTTGCATCTTGTTTCCTTGGTATTCACTATTTTGCAAATTGATTTTTCAAAGATACCTCTGAGAGTTCAACAGAGCAAAGCTGGGACTTGCTTCTCTGTCACAGTGGACAACTAGTGTTTTTTGTTGACCACAGGCATTCTCTGGTGTTGCGGTGGTGATGTGTGTTAAACGTATCTAGTCCTCCAAAACAAATTAGTCATTTTTAAGGGACACTGCTGACTTCAAAAATTATTTGTGTACATATTTTGTACTTAACTGTAGTTCCAAGTAACCCCTAACATAGCAAAAATTTCTGTGTGCGTGCATTTGGCATCATTTCATGCATAATTAATTTTACTGTTACCTCTGTATAGTCAGTACTTTTTGGAACTTTTACAAAACTATATTTCAAAGCTCATTTTTAATAAGCTTGAAGGAAAACTATTCAGGAAGCTCTCTGGATTACTATCCGCTTCAGTGACATCCTGACATAGCACTAACAAAGCTATTGTGCAGCCAGAGGCTCATACAGCCACCAATATGGGATGCTTTCCCATGGCTATCAGTTAGTATATACTGCAGCTTCCCCACAGAGAGCCAATAACCTTGCTAAACCAGAAGAGGAACAGCAAAGTCAAAGATGGGTAGTGGAGTGTTTCTTCTGATAAATAAAGGGGCCTAAATAAAATCCTGAAACCCAACCCCCTGTTGTAGTCAGTAGGAGCTGTAAGCGCTCAGCATGACAATTACAGCACAGCAGTTCTAGTCAAATCATAGAACAGATTGAATGCTAATTTTTAGGATAGTTAAGTTGCCAGGGCATTGGCATGGTGACTCCCTCAACAATTATATAGGTTGATGTGCAGCTACCCTTAAATCTTAACTTCAGTGCATGCCTGTTGTACTGGGTAAGGAAAAAAGTTCTGTTAAATTCTCTCCAGCAAGTCTTGTGTAAACAAGTGAGCTCCCCAAGAATTCTCTGATGTTCCAAACCTTGCAATTCCTAGTGGCCACTGAATTTTGTTAAGATCAATTAAACTGTCAAGTAGGCAGCTACTTTCTAGTCCAGAAATAGAACTTTCCATTCTTAAAATGGGATAAAGCCTTTCCAGCCTCTCTAGCTTTTGATATTTCTCAAACTGTCTATTGGTAGCTTGAGAAAAGGACTTAATGCACAGTTCATTGGTTATTTAAACTCCCGCCCCCCCCCCCAGATAATGGCAAAGGAAAGAAAAGTGTGGGGTTTTCTGATCTTTTCAGAAGCTTTTGGTTCTCAGTCAATTGTCTACAGCTAGCTGTGCTTGAAAATATATGGTTGTGTGCATACGTTGCCATATAACTTCAGGGATTGTGGCTAGATTAGCTAGGATTAAGAATATAGAAGGAATGAAAGCCCTCATTTCAGGAGGTAAACCACTAATTGCCGGGTATTTGAAAGAAACTTCCCTAATGGGCAAGTAATTACATAATTGCTCATTAAGGGCTTTTTTGCGCCTTCCTCTACTGTGTCCAGCACAGGCTACTGTCTGATATGGATTGCCAAGCTAAGCTAACCATAGGCTTGATCTGGAATGGTAATTATGTTCTATAAGTGGTGGAGCTTAGTAACCACCACAAGTGTAGTATAAAGGCATTGTATATGATGGCTTAAAACTTGTACTGTGGCTTGTGAAATGCAGCCTATGATGGTTGTCATGGCCACGTTTGGGAATGTGTATAAATACTTCAGATTTATTGAATGTCGGAGAGATATTCACAGGTGGTGAGCTGACCAAAACTAGCCTGTGTTTCTTGTCAAGAAGGAGATGTCTGATTTAAATGTCCATATACTGGGAGGGGGTAATCCACACTAGTGAGTATTTCACTGTTAACACTCCTGTTGTGATTTGCCACCCCCCTCTCCTTCCCCCATGAGGGCCCTGGAATAAACTGCATCAATAAAACCACAGGAATACCTAAAAGAAACCATTTGTCTGCTACCACTTCCATCATTTATTTTGGGGAAGTTCTATGGCCTGCGTTATACAAGAGGTCAGACTAGATGATCAATTCATAATGGTCCTTTCTGGTCCATTGTTGCAAGCCTGGTACTCTGGTCCCACTCAGCACAAAATCAGTACTTCTTTGCTTACTCTTCTTGTAATGGGTGGGTGTGTGGGGAAGAAAAGAAGGGAGTGGGTGGGTCCCTGTGGAAAAACAAAAGCTCAAATACTAAACTGTATAATAACTGTCCATCTGTAGTGGAAGCAGAGTTCTGGTACAGCCTCTGTTACGGGGGATCAGACTTAACTGTAGCATTATTTCAGTGAATTCCTGATTGCTACCTACAATCTCCACAGGGGCCCAATTTTCCTTAATCCCTGAGCATTTTCAGGCTTCAGTTCTTGATGTCATTTCCCAGGTTTTTAAGATTTTCTTTTTAAATACTTTATTTTGTTAGTATGAGCAAAAGAAGCTGCTTTTATGATCTCAAGTCCAGCTGTTAAGCAATCAAGCTGACTATTCTGTATTTTTATGCTATTGGTCTCAGTTAAAACTCCTGCCTTTACAAGCCAGGGAGCAAAGGAGTCAATCTTCTGCTGTAAATTTTGGATTGCAGCCTCAAAAGGACAACTGTGAAACAACTAGAAATCTATGGTAGAAACCCCCTTGGGAGAACCATAGTCAGCTGTACCTTTGCTTGTCTTCCATTAGTGGAGTTTAAGAAATGACCTGTTCTTCCCTGGTGTTGCTGTTAAGGATTTTCTGGTCTTTTTCTCCCTTTAGGCAGTCTAACAGCCAGATCATAAAGATGATCAATAATATACAAATAGGGTGATAGAAAATCCTATAAAAGAGCATAACTCCACTTGAACCAGGGGAAAATAGCATTCAAGATAGAAATGAATAATGCAAATTAAAACCCCAGTCCGGCATCCGAAATCCGGGCTCCATGCAGGTATGGGCATCCAGTGTCCAGGAACACAATGCAGGATTAGAGCCTCATTCAGTAGTATCAGCCGAACAAACAGTCCTGCCTCAGCAAATTTGCATCTTGTTTGCTTTGTGTTGGGTTTTTTTGGGTTAGTCGCCAAAAGCCCCAGTCAAGATAGTACAGCACAGAAAGATCCCGAACATACAAGA